GATGGAAAGAGCAATAAAAACGGAGCTGATGCGGCACCTCGAAGAAAACAACTTGCTCAGTCTACATCAGCATGGATTCAGAAGCGGTCGATCTTGTCTCACCAACCTCCTAGTATCCATGGAAAGCTGGACGAAATCAATTGACATGGGCTTATCAGTCGACGCCGCGTACATCGACTTCAAAAAGGCTTTTGACAGTGTTCCACACAGACGACTTATATGTAAACTACGTCAAGTGGGTGTGAATGGAAATCTTCTGAAATGGCTAGCCGATTTTCTTACGGGCAGATCTCAGCGTGTGTGTATCGGGAACGCTAAATCGGAATGGGCATCCGTGCACAGTGGCGTTCCGCAGGGAAGCGTTCTGGGACCAATTCTGTTCCTTATATATGTGAACGACTGCCTGGACTGTCTGAACTGCGATCGAGTTATGTTTGCCGACGATCTCAAATTGTGGCAATCAATAGAGAAGCCGGAAGATTCTGTACAATTACAAGACAATTTAAATCGCTTGCAAAAATGGTGTGATGAGTGGTGTCTAAGCCTCAATCGTAACAAATGCCAACTTATCCGATTACGGCCGAGCAACAGGAAGCCGTTGAGATTTGAATCTCAGTACTTTCTAGGAAGTCACCAACTCGAATCAGTCAACGAGTTAAGAGACCTCGGTGTGTGGATGACGTCAACTCTCAAACCATCATCTCATTGCGCTAAGGTATCAAAGAAAGCTATGGGTATTTTAGGCGCGATTAGAAGATCTTTCGTCAATTTTGATGAAGAACTTTTCGGCCGAGTATTTGGCGCATACGTTCGACCAATGTTGGAATATTGTGTCCAGGCATGGTGTCCCTGGACGAAAAAAGATTACACCCTACTGGAGAACGTACAACGTAGAGCGACCAGGCTAGTCGGCGGATTAAGTACCTTACCTTATGAGAGACGGCTGGAGAAGCTAAAAATATTTCCTCTCTCTTATAGACAGTACAGAGGGGACATGATCATGGCCTTCAGGATCGTCCGAGGGCTAGACTGTGCTCTTCAGTTTGACGACTTCTTCGAACTGGCGCGGACGACAAATCTCCGAGGGCACGCATACAAATTGAAGATGAAACATGCCAGACTCGATTTGCGGGCCAAATTCTTCTCTCACCGGCTGGTTGAGGGATGGAACAAATTGCCGAACTCCGTTGTCTTAGCGGAAAACGTCGAGACCTTCAAAAGAAGACTAGATAAACTTATGCTTGATGGTCAAACATTTACATGATATCAATGGCTGGTATAACTGCTATGTAAATATCTGCATGTTTTTTTCTACGTCTATCTGTAAATAGGGTTTTCCAAGGCTCTGCCTCTATCCCTCATATATACTAAATTATACTAAAAATTATACTAAATAACTCCATCTGCCATTTTGAACCCCATCTGCTTAAGCGCAGTAAATCGGCATTTATTTTTTTCAAAGTAGACATTTACAGTGTCCTTAGAATATGAGTAAACACACTTGAGGTCATCGGCATAAATAAAAGTTTGCGAACTTTTGAGTTCAGTCGAAATATCCTTGATGGAAAGAAGGAAGAGTAGCGGACCCAAAACTGTGCCTTGAAGTACGCCACTCGTGATCGAGTGAGGTGTCGAGTAGCTATTACCGACTATGGCTTTCTGATATCGGTTGGGTAGATAAGACCTGATTAATTCGAGTAGAGGCGGCCGGATGCCGAGAGCTTCCAATTTTACTAAAAGACGTCTATGGGGCACCTTGTCAAAGGCTTTGCTAAGATCAAAGTAAATAACTACCATTGACTGCCGTTCATTGCGAAGGGAAATGGTTAGATAAAGACCGTTTTGGAGAGCGCACCAGTTGGGATCAGTTAGAAAAATGGACAATATCTTGGTAGTGCTGGAATCTAGGTAAACAGCTATTGGAAACCTCGTCCATTTCAGGAAGGTTAAACCCCTCAGTGATTATTTTAACATCAAAAGCAGCTTCTGAAATTAATTTGTAGATTTCACAGAGTTGTGAATCATCACTGGCTGAAGAATTCGCGGGATTGTAGATACAGCCAATAATTGCCCTTCTTTCCGGCGAGAAAATAACAGATGCCAAACAGAAGTTACCCGTGAATGAGGAAACATCCAAGTAATAGGGAGAGTGCTTTAGGTAGGACTTAAGATAAAAAAGACAGCCGCCCCCACGCCTAATCGTGCGGTCTTGACGGTAAAAATCGAAGTCATCTATGAGAAGGGCAGAGTCAGGGATTAGAGAAAGGGTCCAAGATTCTGCTACACATTTAATATCAGGCGTCATTTCGAGAGCAATGGCTTTGATTTTGGCCATCTTATTTATAACAGACCTGACATTCAATGTCTTATGTATTTCGAACAGCAAGGTTATTGTCGACGTTATTTAGAAAAAAATTTGGAGACGAATATGCAAGCCGCGAATTAATGGTGAATTAATGGAGAATAAGTGCCACTTAGTTTAGAGTTATTGGCGTAGGGTGAGTCAGCAAGAGGAAGCTCGGCATGAGACCTAAAGGATGTGGGGATATAGTTTTCAAGCATTGAAGTGCTAAGGGAGTTAGAACAGAGATAGACTTGTTGGTAGTTAAATGTTGGAGGAAGAGGAGGTGGGAGATTAGGCGGAAGGTAGGCAGCTATAAGAACAAAGGGGTGGGAAACCAGGTCTAGGTTGGAAGTCAAAGAAGTTAGCTTGAATTACCTGAGAGCAGTTGACCTTAAATGGTGGAAATCCTGAACTAAGTTCGGGGATTAATGACTTAGGGCAATTATCGTATGAGTTATTTACTGGGTAGGGCTTTGGTAAATAACCGAAACCAGGACAGTGAATTATTTGGGGGTATAAATGTAGCTGTGGGGTTTGTAGACGAGCTGGGCTGTAAAGGTCTAGTAGATCTAAGACAAGGCGGCGTACCCCAAAATGGAATTTTATTACCTTTCTTTTGAGTCGGGTTCCGATTCACTTTTATAGTCTCACCGTTCTGACGCCATGCCGCAGGTGACTTAACTGCAGAGTTTGCAGGTAACTGTTCAAGTGGAGAAGTTATCGGTCTAGCTGATGTAGACGGATTTTAATGCGTCCCAAGGGAGATATCTAGAGGATTAAGAATGACAACTGGGGTTGCTATTAACTTAGGGGCAGGCAAATGCGTTAAGTGACCTAAGTGAGAGGGAGATGCAGAAGTAATGCGAAGGAGGGTCAGATATCGCAGGATTAGGACCAGTGGAATCCTCATGGCCACTTGTATTTCGGCCGAGTTGCTGAGAATTTGACCGAGAAGCTGTTGGTTTACGTGAGAAGAGGGACTTAATTCTACGCTTCATGGGAGTAAGATCATGACAAAGGAAAACGTTTGCATTTTCCAGGTACATAGAGACACGATCTCGGTGGGCAAAGATTACGTCGACCTCAGTTGGTGAAAAAAACTTAACTATGACGGGCGGATTTTTGTCACGAGAGGACAGGCGTTTTGCACCGACTATTCTGTGGTTGAAACCGCACGAATACAGGAAATTAGTCGCAACATCAATGGGCGGGGCAGATCGAGGATCATTTTTCACCAAGAAGTTGGAAGCACGTTTTTTCTATCACTAGATTCACTGGCGATCAGGTGAACAAGTGAGTCAAGACATTTACTTCCTTGAGAGGGAATATTGGAGATGGTCCCTTCGAATAATTTTCCAAGAATTGAGAGCAGTGTCAAAATTTAGTATAAAACCATTGCAGTTGTAAAGTGTGGACAGGTTAAGCTTAAGTGAATAAGAAGAGTCGAGCACCGGAACACTGTATTTATTGTCCTGAGCTTTCAGACTCGTACAGGAGTTCATCGTTAGAGGTAGCAGCAGCAGCAGCAGCAGCAGCAGCAGCAGCAGCAGAAGAAGAAGAAGAAGAAGATGATGATGATGATGAAGAACAGGCGACAGTGTTCCGGTGCTCGACTCTTCTTCTTCACTTATGCATACACCTGGAACTCGAAATTTCGCCTTTATTCGTGAAAAATTCGGGCGCGATGCGCTTCGGACAGCTAGCAGCTGGGAGTTATTCTCTACACAAGAGGCAGAAACATACCAGCAGTTACGTTTTCTGCACCGATGTCTCCAAGACGAACTAACCCCACGATGCCTGAGATATAAAGCTCCCGTTAAGACGGCCGTGGGAAGAGAAGTTGTGAGGCGGTTTGTCAAACAGATGACAAGAGTTCTGATCGACAACTGTCACCGGCGTTTGCAGAAATACAAGGCTGAGATCGAGGAGAACAGAAGGCAGTGTGTCCACACTCTCAGCGATTCTATCGCCGTATATCTTGGGAAGACGATCTCCGCCTTGGCACACCACAGGCAGGCCAAGAAGAGAGAAGTTTTGGAACGAAAACTGACTGAGCCAAACCACCAGTCACAGAAAGCTCAAACGCGGTCCACAACCTCACGTCCAAGCAACTAACAGAGCAGCAACTACGAGTGTTACGGCATGAAACTTGTTTCAACACTGCAGATGCCGACCCTGTCGACTGCATTGCAGCCCTGGAAGCTATGCTTGTGAGAAGTGAAGCATCCGACGACATGTTACCTCCTGTCTGATGACACACGCACCAACCAAAGGTATTTCGCAGAGTGAGTCAAAGGCTATGAGGGAACTGAGGAGGAACGGCAGCATTATCATTCTACCTGCTGACAAGGGACGATCAACCGCCGTGATGAATAGAGAGGACTATAATTAAAAAGCTAAAGCTCTTCTTAATGACAGAGAGTTTTACAGACCAGCACAGGAGTCACAAGCCACAGCAGTGGCAGATCGGCTGAGTAAACTGCTTACAGAATACCGACATAAAAATGTGGTCACGGAGAATGAATGGCATCAAATGAAGGCAAGTGACACTGCTCTAGCTCAATTCTATGATCTGCCGAAAACCCATAAAGCAAATGTCCCAATTCGTCCATTCGTTGCCTTAAAAGGCAGCCCCACTTACAATTTGGCAAAGTGGATGTGCTCAAAACTGAAGTTTCTCCAAGGCAATTCGACTACCTCAGTTCGATCAGCCTCTCAATCACTCATAGACCTCCGAGGTCGGAGGATTCAATCGGACGAAATCATGTTCACCTTCGATGTGACGTCGTTATTCACATCCATCCCACCAAACTTGGCCCGCGAAGTCTTGCGCAAGAGACTTGAAGAGGCGTACGATGAGACTCAGAATGCACTCAAAACTGAACACCTCATGAGGCTGTTCGAATTCTGCCAACAAATTTTGTTCACTTTTACGAGAGAGACCTATGAGCAAATCAAGGGAACCCCAATGGGCTCACCGATCTCCGGTTTAGTGGCAGAACTAGTCCTACAGGAGTTAGAAAAGATTGCCTTCACCCAACATGAACCAGTGATTTGGCGCCGTTACAAAGACAACACATTCGTCATCGTAAAGAAGGACCTGCTGCAACATTTCCCTAGCCTGCTCAACACAGTCTTCCCTGATACAAAATTCACGAGGGAAGAAGAACAGGAACAGCAGTTGCCCTTCCTGGATGTGCTTGTCAGATGAAACCTTGACGGTGAAATTGAAACGACGGTTTATATGAAGACAACGAACACCACACAGCTTCTCAGTTTTCACAACAACCATCCGGTGGCTCACAAACGAAAATGTGTGAAGACGCTCTTCAAACGGATCCAAACTCATTGCAGCAAACCAGAGGACAGAGCACGTGAGGCCAGTTATCTCCGCGATCAGTTCGTGCAAAATGGCTATCCGAGGGCATTCATAAGTCGCTGCCTACGCGGTCGCCACCAGAGAAGTCGAACATCAACACCACCGACGATATGGCATTCTCTGCCATACATCAAGGGCGTTTCAGAAGCGATTAAGCACATTGCTGCGGAGCTAGGTGTTGGGATTGCACACCACCCCAAAGCCACCATGCGCAATAGGGTCATGAAAATTGAAGACCGGTTAAAACATGATGAGCAATCTGGAGTAGTGTATCGTATTCCGCGTCAAAATTGTCGTTGTAACTACACAGGACAGACTGGGCGCGTGCTGGGATCGCGCACACACGAACATAGGCGACGCATTATTACAAGTGGCCGCTCACACCTACGAAATGAGTCGCGAGTTTAACTTCGCAGCCACCAAAATAGTCGCCCATGCTGGAAGCAAAACAGGCCGAGGATTGATTGAAGCCTGGGCCTCGGATGAGAACTCGGTCAATCGATTTATCGATCTGGCGCCGGCGTATAGAGCCCTGTGCAGTCACCTCCAGTCTTTCGCCGTTGGCCAATGATTGGCAGAAATGTTCTGCTTCGTCAAGGTCAACGCGCGCAGCACGATTTTGAAAAGATAAGTGAAAGTTATATTTTTGGATTCAATTTCTTAATCCCTTGCACAGTTTTCCAGTGTAGACCTGACAACATTTTCTATTTTTTGTCATAAGTCTTCTTCGCTTCCTGTCGTGTTTCTGCGATTTGTCATAAAGCAGAAATCTATTGTCGCAGTTTTTCACCCAACAAAGCGTCAATCCTATGAAGTCTTACCTGCATATACGAAAGGTTTTCCTCGTAAAAATATAGATTAACATTATATTTTAAACGATTAACCGTCTCCACTGACGGCTTTCATCGTCAGTTTATTGAGAATTATACTGTTATCTATTTTATCCTACATAGCCTCATTATCCAATTCCGATTTATTCATAGTTCTGTTTTGCTACCTACGAAATTGTCATTTGCCCGTTTTTTTTTTAAGTTTGCATTCTGGTATTGAGTAAAACTTGCTTAGTATAAATTGTGCTGTCTGGTCCACCAATATTGGCAGCTTTCAGAAATCGTTTCATCATACATAGCCTCATCCATATATCCTCGAAGTTTCGGCAGTTATCATCCATATAAATATTTGAACTTAAGTCTTGTATTGCGTTTTCGGCACGAAACCTCAAGCAACCCTTCAACGAAATATGAAGGAAACTAAACTTCATCTGAAACCCAGTGTTCATATGAAAAAAATTGATCTAGGGGCGCTTGATGATTTTAACAACTTTATGTCTCGTTGCGGATTAATTTTTTCTGTCCTTGGTGCCCTTCTTGACGGAAATTTGCCAACGCTTACGTCTCAGCAGTGTGAGAAGCTCATGCCTCTCATTAACCTGGTTGCGACTGAGACTGAAGACAGGCACAAACGAAGTTTCAACTTTATATTAAAAAACGTTCCTAAGAGTAGACAGCCAATAGATTTCGCCTTTCATTTCCTTTTTTCATGCGGCTTCAACTTTAGGGTCGCGGAAGCTAAAAGGCTTTCATCTAGGAGCAAGAATCCACCAATTCTTGTCAAACTCTTTTCATCGATAGAAGTGGATTTTATTTTCTCCCATTTGGAGCGCTCGACTCAATATCTCAGGGCAAATAAACTTTTTATAAGTCGAGACCAAACTCCACTGCAACGAAAATTTTCTCCCCCATTACCAAACGTAAAGCCACCCCGAATTCTACTCAAATGCCTTTTTCCTCTAAAGCAGCTTCTCCAACTGGTGTCGACCAAATCTCCCCACTATCTACAGCGGCCCCAGTTCCATCTAGCTCTTCGACTGATCACATTATCACAGAGACGGTTAAAATTAGCCTCTTTAAAACTCCCCCACGGAGCAAGGATTGTTCAAATGCGGCTCCCAAATTTATAAGGGAGCTTGATCTTAGCAGTAAAGATGAGCTAGTCCTTGAAGCACAACCGGCTCCCAGCACTCAGAATAGTGATTTGGTTAATAAACTTACATCGAATCCACCCCGTTCCCACGCCTGGCCACTCAGGTCTGACCTTGCAGTTAGGTCTAATAAGCTAGATGAGAGTTCATGGAGGTCTTTACCTGTTCCTATCCTGAATTCTCAACTTAATGCCACAGTTGTGAAGCCCTCTTACACATCAGACTACAAAATGCAAGTATATTGCATTGCTGATAAATTTTCCAATCCCGTTGCTAGCCTGACACCCCAAATAATAAAGCCCTTTCCTGATGTTAACTGTTTCCCGAAACCATTACGTCCGCCACCTAACATAAACTACCCCTCGTATTATGCTAACAATTCCCAAAATCCTTTTTTCTTGTCTCCTATTTTTCCAACCCAACAAAATAGTTTTCCTCTTCCTGGGTCCTCCTCAAATGTTTTTCCACCTAATGCTGCATCTCTAGTTAGTAATTACCCCATAAATTTTAGACCGCAGCAACTTTGTCCTCCACCAATTGCTTCGCTCCAACAGCTTAATTTTCCACCTCCGGCTCTTCCTTTTTTATAAGTAGCAATGAGCGGAACCTACATATTAGGAATACGCTCAGTATTGTCTCTCTCAACGCAAGATCTGTCGTGCAAAAGATGGCACACCTAAGAAGTGTAGCTGTTGAGTTTGACACAGACGTATTGTGCATTACTGAATCTTGGGCCCACTCTCTAATTTCAGACTCGGCACTTAACATAGATAGCCTCAGTTTATACCGCCAGGACCGTGCCGACAGACGCGGCGGTGGATGCCTTCTTTACATAAGAGCATCACTTGCACAATCGCCTTATAACTTGAACATTTCCTCCTTCTCTGGAAATTTATGTTTTGCTTCGGTAATCCTTCCGCAAAATAGGAAAGCCTTAGTCGGATGTGTATATAATCCTCCTTGTTCCTCTGGAAATGAAAGTCAACTTTGTGAACTCTTTGAAAAAATTGCAGAAACTTCTTTTGATGTCAAGATAATCGTAGGCGATTTTAATTTGCCAGAAATTGACTGGCACACACATACTTCTCCTCCTAAATTCCAGAAGCTGCTTGACACAATTTACTTTTCAAACCTGACTCAATTAGTTCACTCTTCGACCAGAAACGATAGTGTTTTAGACTTAATTTTTACCAATGGCACCTTCCCTTTATCTATGGATTTTTATCATGACCTCTTTGCAAGTGATCATGCATTAATCCATTGTCGCATTCCAGTTGCCATTTCCGCAAAGCTAACAGTTCAACGTAGTATTTTTGACTTTGCTAATGTTAATAAGGAATTAGTAAATAACTTTACATGCACTCTTGATTGGCACAATATTTTTTCAAATAATGATCTAAATTTTTTCAAAAATTTATTACAATGCGTTACAGAAGGTCTTCTTGACCTTATTCCTCGGAAGATGTTCAAATCGAGTGCTAATTCCACCGCTATCCCACACTTTCTTAAAAACAGACTTAAACAGTTACGGAAGCAGTTTAAAGATCCTTCTGTGAGCTCATTATCAGTTCATCTAAGAATCGTTGAAATATTTGAACTAGCTTCGAAAATGAGGCTCGAGCGAGATAGGCGTAGAGAGTCTTTAGCTATTGATGACGTGAATTCTTCTAAATCAGTTGCTCAGATCTTCCGTCAGAGATCATCTGCTAAGCCCCACCAAGTCATTCCGCCCTTGCTTAGTGCTAGCCATGCCTTCATTACTGAGGAGTCAGGTAAAGCAGAAATTTTAAATTCGTTCTTTGCCAAGCTTTTCACCATTGAAACTGATCCGATCCCTTTAATTCCTTCGTTGTCTGATGCTTCTCTTAGCTTCATTAATTTTTCTCCTGAATGTATTCAAAAACTGATAAGCCATCTTCCTTACTCTCACTCAGTAGGTACGGACAATATCCCAAACTCTTCGATAAAACAGCTAAGAGATTTTCCTCCTCTGCTTAGCAAAATCTTTTCAGTATTTCTCGTAAATGGCTTCTTCCCTGGAAAACTTATATTATTATTATTATTCCAGTATTTAAGTCTGGCTGTCGTTCTGACGTACAGAACTATCGAGGTGTCCATAAAACACCCTCTCTCGCCAAAATCTTCGAAAAAATTATCGCCGTAAAAATTACCGAATTTTGCGTAGCCAATCAAGTTATTAGCCCTTCCCAGCATGGTTTTTTTTACCAGATCGCTCTTGTGAAACATGTCATCTGTCGTTTCTCGATCTACTTACCTCTCTTCGTAATGATCACTTATCTGTTGTCCTTATTTATTTTGATCTTAATAAAGCCTTTGATAAAGTACCACATAAAAGACTCTTGATTAAATTGGAAGCTATGGGAATTCGCAGTCCACTAATAGACTTTCTCAGGTCATACCTGTCTAATCGTAAACGAAAGGTTTTGGTGGGATCTTCACTTTCCAGTGAAAGTCCTATAGTAAGCGGTGTCCTACAAGGTACCGTTTTAGGTCCTCTTTTGTTCTTGCTTTACATAAATGATATTTCAGCAGCAGTTAAACATTCTCAATCATTTATTTATGCCGATGATCTCAAATGTGTATATTCTTTCAATAAATCTACGAGCGTTCATTGCCTGGAGCAAATCCATGCTGACTTGCTTGCTCTCTCAGCTTGGAGCTCAAAATGGCTAATGGAATTCTCTCCGTCTAAATGTCGTTATATGTGTTTTGGACCTGATAGGCTACCCCAACCTGTGGTCTTTCAAGGCACACCTATGACTGAATGTACCACCATCAAGGATTTAGGTTTAAGCTACACTAGTAATCTTGATCTCTCGCCGCACGCTGA